ATATTACGTTGGATTTTAGTCACTTAAAATTTGTCGCTAAGCACTTACGTTACGTTTGGTTTCATATTCGCTACCAAGAATACATAAAAACCTAACCAAACTACCTAATTACAAATGGATTCATAATCACTCCTCGAATATAACTATAAGTGCCTATCTAATTTCATGTTATAATAATTCTGAATCATTAATCCAGACATCAGTTTTGTCAACGGAAGTCACTTTTTGATATATCTGATTAAAATACTCCGGAAAACAACGAGCGCCTTCAAAATTAGGTAGATTTATGAAATAAAAATATCTATAAAAAGTTACTCGCAAAAAATATTTTTTAATTTTCTAGCTGGTTTAATCATAAAACTGTTCTGTGGTTCCCCCAAACTCAACCTTATCAATATTATTCTACTAGAAATCGAAATGTGAATATAAATTTTAAAAACAAAAACGATTTTAAAATGGCTGACAATCGGATACGTGTTAAGAATAGCGGATTTCTGTGTCCGATTTAATATGAACTACCAATATACCAATTCTCGTCTCACACGACCGAAGTCATCAAACCGGACGACCGGCAATAGTATTATGACGTATATAATTCCAACGTACGCCACGTAACCTCACTTTGCGTATCAGTGATTTGTGGATTTGTGCAACTATATTTTAACTATTATTTAAAATGGGCAGCCACTTTTTTAAGCCTAACCTCACATGTGGGAGGAGGATGGGGTCTGCTGGTTTCCTAAGCTAAAAAATGAAATTAAGATGCACCAGTCTAATGCAGTTATGAGTGGAGGCAAGACATCACTACTACTATTATTATTTTCCAAAAGCCTCGACCTCTTTCTGCAAAATGTAGATGAATGTCTAAATACCTTTTTAGTGTTTTTTTAGGCATAAGTTTGTTTACAAAAACTTTTTATTAGGTTATGTTCATGATGTTCATTAGGTCGCAAATGCTACTTAATGGGTTGTATTTCCGGACGTAAATAGAGATACGTAAATTAGGTTATAAATATGAACATAAAATACAACAAAATATAATTGGGCGTTACTTTGGGGATTATCAGTGAGACGTATCCTATTCGGACAACGGGTAGACGTCGGGCTAGTTCAAGTATATGTACGTCGTGCAAGCCAACGTGGGAACGACGTTGGGAAATTAATAAAAATGGTACGTTGTTATTTTGTACGTCGACAGATCGTTGGATTTACCGACTCGGATCCAACGACCTCGCTTTTAATAGGAAAGCGACGTCACAGGTCGTGTCACCAGCACCCGACCTAAATTTGCACAAGTCTGACGTCGCTTCAGGTCAGATTTAGTTCGAAGTCAGATTGATGCTACTTGGGAATTTGATACAACACAATTGGAATTTCGAGTCAAATTTTTGTTACGAACCGCAAGTTGTAATTTCAAATAAACCATATGCTGATAAAAATCAAAAGTTGTAGTTATTTCCGGTGAAACAGGAAGTGACCAAAAACAATTCAATCCTAAATTATGTCATATTCTAACATACCAACTCTCGTTTTTTTAACTGAAAAAATAAAAAAGTTATGTGGGGTGAGCCACTTTTGAGACTCACCCGGTATTTATATACAGTTCGCTAAAAAAATCACGAAAATCACACTTTAAACTTGACGAAAAAATGCTCCGTTGCGTTTTTATGCATCTGGGTGTAAAAAAGACAAAAATGTTTTTGACCAAAACAGTTTTTCTCTTTCTGTGTGCGTTCGGCCTTAAAATAAGTATCTGACATGTTGATGTTGGTCTGAATAAAACTGCATGAGGAAGAAAAATCTTGTTATTTCATGTAACACACTCTAGAAGGCACCACATGAAAGCTCTTCTTCCCTTTATACCACCTATATACCATAATTTTTATAACAATCGAAGAAAACACTATTAATAGGCAATGTGAAGTCAACAAATCCCTTAACGACGAAGAAAAATGTACCGATGGACCAATTTATATCTAAAATTTCAAATATTTTCAAAGATAAAACGGTTCAAGTCCAAAAAAGTATAAATAAACATTCTAAAAAATGACCACAGTTGTATTTTGAGTTACTTTAGTTTGCAATTATACAATTTAAAATATAATAAAGCATTGTGTCAAGTTTTCTTCTCCAGCTTGTTTTATTTTAATTAAGTAACATTAAAAAACTTTAACTCTCATTTTCTCTATAATTATCTTAAGTTTTCTACTAACCCTTTCCCCCCGCAGCGCGTTATTTTGAGTCGCGTTGTCGCGTCCTCGTCCAAAAAGATTTGGCAGCGGCGGCAATAACCAGTTCGATCCAAGCGGGCCGCGGATTTTCGAATCGTCCTCTCCTCCCGATAGTCGATTGTTTGCCCCGGCATCGCAGCGACAATATCCCGGCCGCGAGTCGCGTGTCATTCGACAGTTGTCTTTCGCGCGATCAACAAGTGTCACCGTCGCGTCACCCCCCGCAGGGTTCCAAGCCCCCCTTTGGTGCCACCCCGACCGCGACCCGTTGCGAGTAAAGGCCCCCTTTCATGCCGTTAGCGGGACGAGCTCGAAGGACCAAAGAACGCAAAGTCAAGTTCAGACCAGACCCCCTGTATTTTTGCGAAGGTGAGTCCAGTCTTGTTTACGTATCTGTCGGAAATAATCGGGTTTGGAGTTTGAAGAAATATTGTTCGGATTTTTAACGGTTAACGTGCGGTCTGGCATACCACTATACTGTTTTGTTATCTATAAGACAGTATAAATAAAGACAACTTCTTTTGTCGAGAACCTTTATTCATAAATTATTTAAAGGATAACAAAAATGTCGAAATACATTAAAATAAACACTAACATATCATAACAAATATATTTTTTCAAACGTCACAAAAGTATAATTTTTTGCGACGTGATTGACAATATCAAAAAGTCATTTTAACGCCTAGGCATAAAAGAAAAGCGCTTTTTTGCCTGGGCACAAAAGTACGAAAATATATTATTAAACTAAAATAAAGTGTCAAATTCGACAGGTGTAACCACAGTTTTTCGATATACAGAGTGTCCCAGAAATAAGTGCAAATATTTTAAGAGGTGGTAGATCTCGATAAAAGAAACATATTTTCTCTTTTTCGTATTTCAAATAAGTCCAAAATAACGGAGTTATTTTACTTTGAAAAGTTCCAAAAAAATTTTTTTTTCCTAAAATTTTGAGGATTTTCTTTTTTGTAAATTTAATCTAATACCTATGTTGCCATATTATCAAGAAATTATGTTTTTTAACTAAAAACTAACAAAATTTCCTAAATTTTTTGCGAAAAATTAGAATTTTCAAAATTTTATTTCGGAAAAAATACCTCATAGGCGTGTTTCTGGGGTTGAACTATATCTGGGACAGCCTGTGTAATTACTTACAAGCTATTACTTTTATTTTTTTATATTATTTGCAACGCTTGAAGAAAAAGTATGTTCTGTTCGGAGTAAAATTGACTTTTTGTGCGCCGCCACAAAAAATTTCATTTTTACTCCTAATAAAATAATATACTATTTTTCTTCAAACGTCACAAAAGTATTAATTTTTGGGAAGAAAATAACAACATATAAAAGTCATTTTAATGTCTTGGCATAAAAGTAAAGCACTTTTGTGCCTGTAAGCACAAAAACAAAGAAAATATACAATGTCTCCGAAAAATCTGTTCTAAAATGATTAATCCCGTTTATACTTTTCCAAATGTCCATACCAGAGAACTCAAACAAAGCTATAATCACAATCATTTACATCCTAACGCGGGACAAACAACCCTTTTTTTTTAGGCCACATGTTTACTTCTAAAGGTAGCCTTATACCTGGTTTCCTCAAACGCACGTCAGTCTTTTAATATTACTAATATTTTTCTGCTACAGATACAGACACACTGCAGCTTGAACAAAGTAGGTTCTAATATCCACAGGATGTACCACAGTCCTACCACCAACTACAAGCCTATACTGCTTGCACGGCGACAAGTTCCATAATATGATTAAATTAATTTTGGATTAGGAGGGGTTGAGGGAGCCCATCTCATTCATCTGGGCTGCCTGAAGTACGCCCAAATGCGCAAGCTTTGTTGCTGCTATATCTCCCCTGGTCTTCACAGTAGGCGAAGGTGGATGATAATGGCGAGACAAAACCTTCATTTCGGCCCTTCGGCACTTTATTACTTGAATTAAAGCAAAACCATCCTGTCGGACATACTTCAACACTGTAGGCTTTGAGCATACCATAAACAATTGAGGCAACATTTTAGAAATTCCAAGTTGAGTGCCCATTCGGTACGCAAGTAAACAAACTGAAACTAATTTTTGAGGAAGTTATTTTAAAATAAAACACAATGGTGGCGAATATGAATAGAGGTGCTAGCCTAGATCATTATATATCTAACTTATTATAGTGGTTGCCTAGTTTACACTCTTGCCTTTTTTTGAACTGACATACAATCACTTGATTTGAATAAATTTCCATAACATCACGGTGAGGTGGTGGAAATACAGCAACCAAAAGTACCATCAATTCCTCATCTTTGAAGAACCCTATAAATCTGCTCTTTGACATAATGGACCTATATACCATAATTTTTATAACAATCACAATAGGGAATGTGAAGTCAACAAATCCCTTTACGACGAAGAAAAATGTACCGATGAACCAATTTATATAAAAATTTCAAATATTTTCAAAGATAAAATGGTTCAAGTCCAAAAAAGTATAAATAAACATTCTTAAAAATGACCACAGTTGTATTTTGAGTTACTTTAGTTTGTAATTATACAATTTAAAATATAATAAAGCATTGTGTCAAGTTTTCTTCTCCAGCTTGTTTTATTTTAGTTAAGTAACATTAAAAAACTTTAACTCTCATTTCTCTCTATAATTATCTTAAGTTTTCTACTAACCCTTTCCCCCCGCGGCGCGTTATTTTGAGTCGCGCGTTGTCGCGTCCTCGTCCAAAAAGATTTGGCAGCGGCGGCAATAACCAGTTCGATCCAAGCGGGCCGCGGATTTTCGAATCGTCCTCTTCTCCCGATAGTCGATTGTTTGCCCCGGCATCGCAGCGACAATATCCCGGCCGCGAGTCGCGTGTCATTAGACGGTTGTCTTTCGCGCGATCAACAAGTGTCAGCGTCGCGTCGCCCCCCGCAGGGTTCCAAGCCCCCCTTTGGTGCCACCCCTACCGCGACCCGTTGCGAGTAAAGGCCCCCTTTCATGCCGTTAGCGGGACGAGCTCGAAGGACCAAAGAACGCAAAGTCAAGTTCAGACCAGACCCCCTGTATTTTTGCGAAGGTGAGTCCAGTCTTGTTTACGTATCTGTCGGAAATAATCGGGTTTGGAGTTTGAAGACACTATACTGTTTTGTTATCTATAAGACAGTATAAATAAAGACAACTTCTTTTGTCAAGAACATTTATTCATAAATTATTTAAAGGATAACAAAAATGTCGAAATACATTAAAATAAACACTAACATATCATAACAAATATATTTTTTTCAAACGTCACAAAAGTATTATTTTTTACGACGTGACTGACAATATCAAAAAGTCATTTTAACGCCTAGGCATAAAAGAAAAGCGCTTTTTTGCCTGAGCACAAAAGTACGAAAATATATTATTAAACTAAAATAAAGTGTCAAATTCGACAGGTGTAACCACAGTTTTTCGATATACAGAGTGTCCCAGAAATAAGTGCAAGTATTTTAAGAGGTGGTAGATCTCGATAAAAGAAACATATTTTCTCTTTATCGTATTTCAAATAAGTCCAAAATAACGGAGTTATTTTACTTTGAAAAGTTCCAAAAAAATTTTTTTTCCTAAAATTTTGAGGATTTTCTTTCTTGTAAATTTAATCTAATACCTATGTTGCCATATTATCAAGAAAGTATGTTTTTTAACTAAAAACTAACAAAATTTCCTAAATTTTTTGCGAAAAATTAGAATTTTCAAAATTTTATTTCGGAAAAAATACCTCATAGGCGTGTTTCTGGGGTTGAACTATACTACCAGTTAAAATTCTTGCACTTATTTCTGGGACACCCTGTGTAATTACTTACAAGCTACTACTTTTATTTTTTTATATTATTTGCAACGCTTGAAGAAAAAGTATGTTCTGTTCGGGGTAAAATTGACTTTTGTGCGCCGCCACAAAAATTTCATTACTCCCTAATAAAAATAATATACTATTTTTCTTCAAACGTCACAAAAGTATTAATTTTTGGGAAGAAAATAACAACATATAAAAGTCATTTTAATGTCTTGGCATAAAAGTAAAGCACTTTTGTGCCTGTAAGCACAAAAACAAAGAAAATATACAATGTCTCCGAAAGTCTGTTCTAAAATGGTTAATCCCGTTTATACTTTTCCAAATGTCCATACCGTTTTAGAGAAAATTAAGAAAAACATGACAATATGGTCGAATTTTTTCAAAGTCCTAAAAAACAAAAGGCGTTTCTTTAGTTATTATCATTTCGATTGCATTCTTTGATGGATGGTTAATATTAAAGTTGATTAACGTCATATTCTTTGCTGTTGTTAAAGTATCATATTTTCCGATAATTGTCATCACCCTTAATAGCATTGAACTAAATAAATTTTGTACTTGTATTTTAAAACAGCAAAAAGTGTTTATTAAAATTAGATGAATAACAATCTATCAAAAAATGAAAGTGAATTTATATTACCATAGAAACGCTTTTTGATTTTTAGAACTTCAACTATAAAAAATTCAATTAAATTTTCATGTTTTTTTTTTAATTTTCTGTAAAACGGTATGGAAATTTGGAAAACTTAAACGGGATTAACCATTTTAGAAGAAGCAAAAATTTTTATGAAGAATGCATTTTTCTCAAAATGTCAATAATAAAACGGTTTTCCTCTGGTAGAGAGAATCCGGGGACATGCTGTATTATTAAACTGACATAAAGTAGTGTCAAATTCAACGAGAGTGTAACCATAGTTTCTTGATATACAGGGTGTCCCAAAAATAAGTGCAAATATTTTAACTGGTAGTATATTTTGGCCTCAGAAACACGCCCATAAGGTATTTTTTGCAACAAAAAAAAATTGAAAATTTGGAATTCTTTAAAAAAAATTTTTATATATTTTGGATTTTTTTTTAATTTCAAGTTAAAAAACATAATTTCTTGATAATATGGCAACATAGGTAGGAGCTTAAATTTACATGAAATAAATTCCAGAAAAGATCTAGTGATTCTCAAAATTTTAGCAAAAAATGATTTTTTTGGAAATTTTCAAAGTAAAATAACTCGGTTATTTTGGACTTATTTGAAAAACGGTAAAGAGAAGAAATGTTTCTTTTGACCAGATCTACCACCCCTTAAAATATTTGCACTTATTTCTGGGACACCCTGTATAATTACTTATAAGGATTACTTTTATTTTTTTTTATATATTAGTTGCAAGAAAGGTTGCAATGTTTTAAATTTTTAAAAAAAATATTTGTGACGTGTAAAAAAAATAGCATGTTTTTTTCGAAGTAAAAATGACTTTTTGAACCTCGAAACGTACAGCTCCGCCACAAAAAGTGTAATTTTTACTCCTAATAAACAACAATACACTATTATGGAGGATTCATCAAAAATTTTATATAATCGTAAAAATTATATTGTTTGATATTTTCAACATTTTTATCACCGAATTACTGTAAACAACTTTAATGCTCGGTCTGTTGATCTTCACGTGATTTGTGATAAGTTTCGTTAATTGTTATGATTTAACAAATATTTTCCCACTATATATTTGTTTTAGTTTTATTAAATATACAGATATATATCAACTATAGAAAATTTGTGTGACTATTATCTCGTATAATGTCTGGAAAAGACAATTTCTAATAAATATTCTATAAGTGCAAATATTTTAACTGGTAATATAGTTCAACCACAGAAACACGCCTATGAGTTTTTTTTCGCGAAAAAAAAATTGAAAATTCTTTTGGAAATTTTTTTAGTTTTTAGTTAAAAAACATAATTTCTTGATAATATGGCAACATAGGTAGTAGATTAAATTTACAAGAAGGAAAATCCAGAAAAGATCCAGTGGTTCTCAAAATTTTAGCAAAAAATCCTTTTTTTTTAATTTTCAAAGTAAAATAACTCCGTTATTTTGGACTTACTCGAAAAACGATAAAGAGAAAATATATTTTTTTATCGAGATCTACCACCCTTTAAAATACTTGCACTTATTTCTGGGACACCCTGTATAATAATATCGCCATATTGTTTTTTTTTCATGCTGACATAAATGTAAGAAAATTTTATCCAATTTGGGTGTTAATGGAAATTCTTGCTTTGCTTTATTATCACCATTATAAATGATTAATTCGACACGAACGAAGTCGCGGGTACACGCTACACAGTGCTTCGAACATATGGCTCTAGAGGACAAAAATGCAAAACTTCTTTTTCATTGTAGGCAATTTATTCAAACTAGGTTTATTTGATACAAATGATGAATACTCTCGTTGTACTAAATGATGATGTTCTTAGTCCCACGTTTATGAAAAAAAATGTTATAAATAATAAAAATGTGGGAGCTCTGTTGCATCTAAGGAAATAATAATTTATAGTATGAAAACGGTGTAAGTATTAAATAAATCCCTGTGATAAAAAAGAATTGGAATAACATTAGAACATGATTCCTACAATATAAGCCAATATAAGATAAAAATGTTTTTCTTTAATGAAAAAGAAACATTAATGCTATATTTAATTAAAAAAAAACTCAAGATACTATAAATTTACTTTAGGACAACAAAATGCATAGATCGTAACTACTCTGATTCAGAAGAATCACTGCTGACAGAATCTTCCAAATTTATAGTATCCAAATCACAGGTAGATGAAATATCCGCACATATAAGATATTTCTGTACATCATTTTCAAATATGTTACTTTTTCGCGTTGTTACTGTTCTTTTTGTTGGTATGAGGGGTTCGGATGTTAATAGTTACCTCTTTAATAGACCATATCAATATATCATTTTTTCGTTTTCTTGGGTATGAGGTTTTATAATAAATTGAAAGATGGAAACTTTTTTATGCGACGTTTCGCTCCAAAATAGTGGGCTTTTTCAGGCACAAGTGGTGTCTCATTTGACTGGAAGGTTCATCAATATCTAATAAAGAACACATTTTTTGGAATACAAATAATTTTGATTCTTGTCCTTATGATCAAGCCAAGTATTAACCAGATCGGCATTGCTTATCAATTTGATTCCATCTGAAAAGTATTATAAAATAAAGTTCGTCGCAAGCAGACGCAGGTGAACTATACAAAAATTAAAAGTGTATGAATATGACAACAAAAATATTCAATAAATACGATATGTTTTGATATGTTTTTTAATGCCTTTTTGAAATTTGAAAACGTAAAATTTGTATACCCATTTAAGAATCATCTTAAAAAATAAATAAAAACTAAACAATCACGAACTTGTTTAGAAATAAATTTAAAGTACATACCTTGTTTAATAACAATATCCATAGTGGCTTTCAATTAAGTACGTACTAACTCGTTTACGTTTAACTCCATATACAGAACTACTATGAATGTTATTCTTTTCATTGATATAAGATAATGATCGCAAAATTTATTTTTAGTGAAAATATTTGCTAACAAAAAAACGGTGTTTATGAAAAATAATATACAGGATGGTTCAACATTGCTATAAGTATAAAATTGCATATTCAGATATTAGTAAATTTTAACTTTTTTTCCATTTTTGTCCATGGGACGAAGCACTGTGCGCTAGTGTAAAAATAAAGAAGTAAAAATCTAAAGTAAAAATTGCTCAGTATGATTTATCTTATTCAACATCAACAGAAAATTAGATATTATGTCAGATTATATAATTTACAGATCACATTATTTCTAAACTGTACGCAGAAAATTAATAGATTTGACGAAATTTAACGATGTTTTCCAAAATCGAAATTCAGATTTATGCCTTTTAGCACGTCTTTAAATAACATGAATCATTTTTTTTGCAAATGGTCGTCTAATTCTCGTTTTGGCAACGGTACAAACGGATTTAGTGCTTCGAAAATGACAAAGCTACAAAATATTTCAAACGGACATAAATATGGCGAGACACACATCATGTCTCAGACACCAAGACTGAGGAAGAATAATAGAAAATATTTTAATATAATATTGTTTCCTGTTTCACAATAAAAATATTTTAAAAAACGATTCATTTTAAAAACTGGAATTTATTTTATTTATCTTGATATATCGAAATTATAATTATATTAATGAACTAAATAC